TTTCAAGGTTAACGCCGCCATTTTGCCGGGGGTGCAAAACTGCTGGGGCTAACGCAAAATGTACAGTGAATGTATGGGAAAAGTTGAGAAAATGATGCTCGATAATTTGAGGAAGGTTGACATCGTGCAATTTCTATGAATTACAGACTAAAGATACCAGACCTACAAGTTTACCGATCAAATTTTAGAAATGAAGTCTCGCGAAAAAGGCCGCAAATTAAGATTTTGATTTTCCATATATTTGTCTCTAACACAAAACCGCCGTTTCCGGGAAAATTTAAAAGCATTTGTATGAAAAACTGAAAATAAGATTTCTCACTTCTCAGTGAGCCTGAACCCTTCACATTTAATCGGCAACATCTTTTGCTAGGTATCTTTTACTTTGTAATTCATAGAAATTGTAGAATGTCAACCTTCCTCAGATTATCGAGCATCAATCTCCCGACTTTTTTCATACATTCACTGTACATTTTGCGCTCGCCCCAGCAGTTTTGCACCCCCGGAAATATGGCGGCGTTAACCTTGAAAGGGTCCATTTTGACTTAAGAAATAGAGGTGAACTATAGCAAATGATTATGCATCGATCAATTCAAAGCTTCAACATCCTCCCCCCGGATATGCCTTAGGCATTTGAACTTATGAAGATTGGTTTGTTCAAATTCTCGTCCTCAGGGCAAAACTTGTGTTCGAATAACCCACACAGTTTTGTAAAATGGAAAAATCAGTGAACGTGACTTTTTCTGCACTGACCAAGTTTAAAACCGACCCTACATCCCCTCTGGCACTGACGACGGTCAAATGCCCGGGGAGGGTGTTGAAACTTCGAGTTGATCGGCGCATTATTTTCTATATCAAAAAGATGGATCATGTTTACCGTAGGACACTACCTACAGTAAACATGATCCGAAAAGGTAACACTGAAGCATATTCGGACTATGCTGGAAATTGCTGATGCTGACAAAACACTAAAAAATGATTAAGTTGCAGGGATTTCTTCAGGATGGCTACATTTTTTTGTTTGTTTTCTTTTTAATTCTGGACTACGTGTGTCAACTGAATTTTTTTTGCGACTTTCTGGTTGAGGACAGAAACTGAGACGGGGAGGAGGGGAGAGTACGATGTAAAGAATTAAACATCTTCTAAAGATCAGATTTCCAGTGCATATGAGAGCGTTCCCAACAGCAACAGTTGTTTGTTTTTAATTTTTTGAACATCCAGAAACTGTTGTGTTCAAAAGAATTTAAACGGATGAATTACTGAAATAAAAGACATACGAAGCTACATTTTCTCATTATATAGTGCACTTCGATCGAGCTAATGTCGTAAAACCAAAACCAAAGCAATCATAAGCAAAGAAAAAACTATATCACGAGGAGCCAATTAAAACTCGAAGTAAAAATAAGCAAACTTCTGAAAGCGCGGGAAAAACGCGAGTGACCAAATGACGATTGGTTTTAGTTTTAATCTGATTGGTTGAGAGAGTGGCGCGAGTTTTTAGGACCAATCACAAAACGAAATGATACAAAGCCAAAGCAATCCCGGTTTACTTACGATACTTAATTGAACTCTTTACTAATAACTGAACAGTTATCTGTGTTATATTTTCACGCTCCCGCGGGTTTATTTACTAAAGGTTGCTTTCCTAGATTCTCGTCGAATTGTGTCCCAACCATTGGTAGCCAGAGACATAATTAAGCTTCAGTGCTCCGATGCAAAAATCAAAGTGGATCAACGTTTATATATTCAGTCAGTGATTTTGGCATAAACATCTCATTTAGTGTTTGTGACAACGATTACGCAAGTTCATTGCTTTCGAAGGTGAATTCCTTATCTACTTACACAGGTTAATAATGTTCAACTTCTTGTTTTTTATTTTTAGTTTTCTTTTCCCCACTTCTTTGTCACGCTGATCAGCGGCAGTCAAGTTCTCGCAGATGGTCAACGTTTCCAGAGACAACTGTGGACAAATTTTCAATTAAAAAACCATTTCGTAGTGTGCAGAATCACGATTTAGGATTAAATCATCGGCTGATGTTAGCCTGTTTGTGTGGTTCAATTCACAGTGTTGGCTGTTCATTTTGTAATTGAACGAGAAACAGTTTCTGGTATTCAGACACGTCAACGCACAAAGCAACACACTATCTGTGTACATAGACTTGATCACGTGACCTTGTAAAGCAGAGCCTTCCTTCCTCAGAGAAACAATTGCTTCTGGTTTTCTGGCAACTGAGACGAAAAACAGAGATTGAAACAGTGAGGGTGAATGGAAAAAAGTCCCTCAAACCCGTCATCATTGAGTGTTTTTGCTACAATTACCATTGCATTACTGGGTAAAACGAATACAAATGAATTTAATTCCTAAACAACCTTGCAGCTAGACTCATATTATTAGCTACGCCCGTGAGAATCGAGCCGGCGAGGGATCTGTGACGAGTCACATCACTCGAACACATTGGTCCCCGAAGCGTTGGGCAAGTGCGAGGGGAATAGTTCTGGCTAGCCTCACGCCAATTTCCCAAGCAAAATTTCAAAAGAAATCGTAACAACCAACCGTTGTCTCTCAAAGTACGCGAAAGAAAGTTGAAACGTTTATCTGAATCTGTAAAAGGAAACAAAAGTAGGGAAAAGGAAAACTCGAAGCTTTTCGACCGCGAAGATTATTCAAGTGCGAGTATCCTGTTCAGTTACGCTTCTGTTTAGGCTTCAACAAAAAAGTTATACGCTTCTAAAACAACGGATCTACTGCCTTGGGGGCTTGTTTGTAACCACGGTGACTCGTGAGAGACAACTTGGTTGTGACAGCCGGAAAGCACGCTACTTAGTCTTTTCAACGTTCATGCATGCGCAGACGTTTAACCGCCATGTTCATCGCTTGCCAGCTCGAAACGCAAGAGCTTCGCCTCTTGTGTCGCAATACCAATGAGTGAATGCCTGTCGGTAAGCTATATCTAGAACTGCGGTCAGAATACAACGAAATGGAAACCACGTAAGCGACTTCGTTACTCCCTGTAAAATGACTAAGGCCTCAAAGTAAGCTAAATATCTTGAATGTAACGCGTATTTAGTAACCGATCAGTCACTGGAATAAAACTTACCTTCGCATATCATTGAAATAAGATCGCCTGTGATATCTTTCTTAACAGATGAGGCGCTGTGAGGAACTAGCAAAATTTGCTCCACTGAGGAAGCAAGCGCTTTTAACATTATCGGCTTAACTTTGGAGCTGATTCCCAAGCCAATGATAATAATTCCATCATCTTTTACTAGTTGCGAAGAGCTCACAGCCAGCTTGAATTCTTGATCTGGTGGGAAATGAAACAAATAATACAGACCCCTCCATCCTAAATACAGACCCCCCCCCCCATCCTATTCGCTGTCATTTATATATATATATATATATATATATATATAAGCCTGCGCGAACGTTTGCCTAGTGTAAGTAAGTTGTGACCTACCTAGTTTAGTACCTTATAATTGAATTTCGATTACTGGGAGATGCAAACCGGAACTCGGAATTCAGTTTGTTTACCATCAGTATTAGTATAGTTTCCATGTAGCAAGGGGGGGGGGATGGGGAGGGCATACTTCCTTGTAATAGGTTAAAGGGGATGTACTGCTGGATGAGGTCGCATTTTTTCGGGATTTTGGGGTATGAAAAGTTCGGTAAAAAGGAATTTAAAGATGGTTCGGTTAGCAAATGTACCAGAATGTTTAATAATAATAATAATAATAATAATAATTCTCACTGCGAATCGCCGTCGCAAACTACAGCAACGACGCAGCTCAACAAGGTCGAACCGAAAGTACTGTAGACCGGTGAAAAGTAAAGTGTTCTGCATTCAGTTTAACAAATGTGTCTAGTTTTAGATTATAAGTTTTTAAACCGCAGGCAATTATCCATAGTCCCTATTTAATACTCTGTTGGTGACGACTGGGACCCCTCCTTTCCGCCCGAAAACTATTTCATCGAAATGACAGACTGGTCTCTAAATCCCTATGAGAAATTTCACCCAAAACAATTGAAACTTACCATAAAAGTCAGCATCAGTGGCAATAACAAGCACACGTGTAACGATAGCCCTTCCACCAGCGGCTTCTGAAAAAAGTCTGCGAGCCTCTTCAAAAGCAACATCCATATTTGATCCTCCTCCGGGATGAGAAAGACTACTTACAGCCTCTTGGATTGAAAAAACATTCTGTTCATCCTTGAAATAATATTGATCATTGGCTTTATCTGCAAAAGTCATCAACGCCAAGTGAGCGCCTGAAAAAGTGAATAGATATACACACTGATTTGACAACGGACGATAGTTTTGTGACGAAACTCGTCCCCAGTCTTTTTACGTGAGGCGTGGTAAAGTTTCAGGAGAGGTGACTGGATGCTAGTCATAAGATCTTCCAAAATTGCGAGAACTTTTAATTTTTTTTTCTTGAATAAAGTAAAATCCGAGAATAAAATCTCGCCAAAATCGCCAAATCAGGTACCAAAAAGGTAGTTTTGGGGAAGTTTGCATTGGTCTCTAGATTCTAAAACAACGAAAACAACAGCAATCTTAATTTGTTAAACAATTTGACTAAAAATCTTTGATATACAATGGAAACAAGAGAAAGCCAAATACAGAAGCCCTGAAAGACATGATAAGTAAGAAGAGTGTCATCAAATTTAGCGCTACCAGTAGAAACATATTCCATCCTACTGTGAAGATATGAATCGATTCAAAGATTAACAATACTGCGAATTCTGTAATGGCTCAGCTTTTAGATATGTTTGAGGAACCCACAGGTGGGAAGTCCATCTTCTGTTGCTCTTTGAATTCCATCTTTAATTTTTAGCTTTCAGTGCAGACAATATTGTACTATAGAAGATGTCAGGATGGCCGAGCGGTCTAAGGCGCTGCGTTCAGGTCGCAGTCTACTCTTGTAGGCGTGGGTTCGAATCCCACTTCTGACAAGTAGGTTAATTTTTGTCATCTCAACTAAATTTTTACACTTCCAGTTCAAATTAATCCTCACCGACACCTCCGCCAGGCAAGGTTCAAATTCCCCACTCCCTGGCACGAACCACAGTCAAATGCCCGCGGGTTGCTCGGAGTGGGCCGCGCAGGGAAGGGGGGAAGGGGGGGTGGATCGACGCATTACATAAGAGTGAGTTAATTTTGAACAACATTCAACTGCAAGAAAACTCACCATCAACTGTTATTACAAATTGCGAGATAACTTTACTGATCAGAGTCTTCAAATCAGCCATGTCCCTCAAGGTAATACTTCCTGACACGTCAATCATGAACGCTACATCCATGGCAACGGGGCATTCTCAACGAGAAAAAAAAAAGGAGATGAGAGAGATGTAAAATTAAAAATTTCAATGTTAGCGAACTCAGCTATGATTAAACGGAGGATTCAATTTAAGCTTTGAGCTGCTGTATTTCTATTTTAATAATTCAAGCTTTTGCCGATTTACGGTATCGCCAGCGAATGTAGAGGAAATATTTCAATATGCGTGATTTAAAAATGAGGTAGGTGATGCGATAACTGAAAGTATTTTTTGAAGTTAAACAAATCACAGCATGAATTTGTAAAATTATCTGCTTTGGCCCTAAAAGGCATGATAGCGACAAGGCCAGATTATGGGAGAGTATCTAGTGAGAAAACAGCGTTCTAAGATGTGAAAAATCATAACCTTAAGCACACTTGTGCAACTCCGTGAAAGCAAACTTTAACATTGAAATGTTTGTGTGTGAACAATCAGATGTAATTCTTGACAGAAATGTGCTGTAAGTTATTTACGAATTAAGTCAATAGAGCCCTCGACAAACAAAATAAGGTCTCTGTTGTGGACGAGTTTTATAACATCTTGATCTATTCATATAATTTTGGTACGGCGTCATGTGAACGTTTGAGCTACTCTAATGCCAGCTACTTTCAGAGTTCATGAGCGATTTAATTAGGCCAACCTGGAATGTGACTCGAAGATCTGACGTTCAATATGGCCTGCAATGAGATAGGAAATTGAGTTGATAAAAAGAAAAAAGACAGATTCGAGCAACTTTATTTGACATTTTTCGGGTACTGTGAATAGTAAATGAAAATTGAGAATTCGCATGTAAGATAGTCTAATGGATTATTGGTGGCGCCTCCTGAATGATTAGAAACCAAAAGGGTAAATCATGTCTGAAACAAATCACACAATTTTTGTCGGTCTTCGACCGGTCTGGCGTTTTGATCATAACTCCCACCCGCCAATGTCTGCATTCTCGGATTATAAAGTTCAGCACAGGCAACTAGTATCATGGAATACAAACTACAAACCTATTGGATGTAAACATTTATCTTCACTTAAATTTTCACTTACCAAAGATATAAGCAATAAGTTCCCAAACATTCTAGAGTCTTTCAGCAGCTGCCAGAATTATGAAATTGTCTATCTCGTGGTGGTCCTTTTGAATATAATGTTACGAGTCACACTCGAATCCTTTTATGTGAAGACAGTGATGTATTATCCATAAACTTCAAGATGTATTCAGCTGACTAGAAAAGGAGCGAGAATAATAAGTAAAAACCTTATTCAGCTTTACTATAATAAACAGGGCTAGCAGATGATGGTGTAAGCTTAAACTTCGTGTTTTTATGATGCAAATGATCAAATGAGAGCACTGTAATCAAATGAGAGAAAAAAAAAGACAATTAAATTGATAATTTCCTCGAACGATTGATTCGATGCCGGGGTGAATTTTTTGTTACTCCTTATTATATGGCTGTGTCTCACAAGGACTGGCAACTACCGAATTCACGAATTTGATTGGCTGAAATCAATATTGAAAGCGATCTAGATTTTCCCATCTAGACCGGCATCTAGACCGGTCTCGAAAAAAAGTTACAAAGAATAGAATGTTCCGTTGCTTTCTAGACACTGCCATATAATAAACATCTTATCAACCGAGCTAGGTCAATCTGTATGGGAGAATCTTGACCTCGGTCGCTGGTACAGACCTCACTACGTTCGGTCTGTACTGGCAACCTCGGTCAAGATTCTCCCATATAGACCTCCCGCTCGGTTAATAAGAACT